CGGGAAACACAGAGGGAAGCAGAAGGGCGACAAGGAAACGGACTTGGCAACGCAACTGTTAAGAAACAACAAATTAAAAAAATCCTCCTTCTAAATGAACTGAGATTGGTATAAGGTGACCAGACCCCAAAGTAAAAACTTGAATGTCAGACTATGAACTATTTCTGTTTTTTACCGCAGCATCCCTGCGATGTGTCCAAGCAATAAGAGCAGACACTGCAGCTTCCCCGAGGATTTCCTTCGGCCTCCAGCTGCAAAGGAGGCAGGCTACTTGCACATCAGTGTCCCGTGTAGCCAAACAGCCGATTTCCCTGCAACCTAAGCAATGTTACTAAATATGCAGTGATCATACATCCGTACTGAATAAGCATGATGTGTTTTGTGTTCAAATGAGAACTGATTAATGTTGACATTGCAGGGAGACTCATCTGTGGTGGGTCCTTACAGACTAAGCTGCTTTTTTCTAATGGGATCTATCATATGCTCCTGATAGAACAATTTCTGATCATGTAGATAAAACATCTTGTATCCTTACCCTCCCCGTGGTAGATATGACAACTGGATGAATCCTGATGTGAGCTTGAAAATGAACGTGTATGTGGCACTTGCAGAGACTTTAGTGCGCTGTTCCTCTTTTACTGAGGTTTTCTTACAATTGTAGTCTGGCTTGAGGGCCTGCATCGTGAAGCTTTGTGCGGTTATACAGGGACCTCTCCAGTGATTTAGATCCAGAAACGTTGCATAAACCTACCTGCTCTTTGTTTGTTTGTGTTTTAAAAAAAATCAAATAATTTTATTAAATAACTAACAAAGTATCCCACTGGATCATTTTCGTATTGATTCCAGAGGGTGATGAACTGGTAGTTCCTGAGACATCAGATAACAGCCGGAAGCAAATGGTTCGAAACATCAACAACAAGCGGCGCTATTCTTTCAGAGTACCGGAGGAGGAGAGGATGCAGCAGAGGAGGTCGGTATTCAACATGTACTTGTCCTCTGTACATGCCTGTAGGCCTTGAAGGACAGTGACTGATGCCCATGTAGTACTTCACTTGCTGCTTTCTGGAATTCCCCTTTCAGATGTTTCCGTGTCTTCACTGCTGTGTTAAACTTTGATGTATAATTTGTGTTGATACCAGTCTGGATGTGGATATGCACTGGATACACAAGTAATCTCATTAATTGAAATTAATTGTGTGAAACAACTGTAATTTGGAATGCATGTCTTTGCATACTGTATATAGGTACATATGCGTGCATCTATACTGTATATAAAGATCCATAATAAACATTTTACAAAAGGAGATTACATTGCTAATTATGCATATGGATTAATTACTTTCAGACTCTGGTTCTACTTTTCTTTCTTTAGGGCAATTCTACTCTCAGCAGTATTCCAAGGGCATCTGCTTTTTTGATTTCTGTGTTTCTTAACTACATAAACACTCTCTAAATCCCAGAAAACTCACCTGCAGGGGGCATTGAGCTGCAGGACGTATTTCTAATAGAAGTCTTTAACAGATGCACATATTTTCCTAAATAGCAATAAAAATAGGTCAGCACTACTTACAGGTTCGGAAAGGATGTTTATTGACCACTTTCTGTCACTCACTAAAGATTACCTGCTACTGTGCTAAAATACACCTTGAAGAACTGAATACTTCAGTTTTCCAGCTCCTTCCACTGATGGGTGGCTCCCTGCTTTCCTTTCTTTTTGGCTCTAAGCAAGAGCTGTGTGCTGTGAAGTTAAAGGTCCAAAGTTCTTGTCCTTTGCATTTTCTGAGCTGCTTGTGGTTCTGTCTTTTAAAATTCTGTTTCCTCTGAGTTCTGAAATGCATCCTTGCCATTTTGGAGAGCTTCTGTGGTAATTCTGACCATAGACTGAGAGAAAGGTAGTGCAGTATTAGGTCTCTTTTCACGTTTTGCCCTTCATTTTCATCTCCGCTTTGCAGTACAACATCACAAAAGAGTTCTGCTTTTGCTCATCTTACTGAGCTTTTTATCGGCTCACAGTGGTTGTATATTCCCTGAATATTAGTAATTACTGGGTGTGGGCTGTTAGCCTGCAATACAGCATGTGTCTGTTCTGGCCCCCTGCTCTCTCTTGAGGCTGGAGGTTTGTCCAGGCCAACGCTGATAGCAAGAGTTTTCACTGTTAACGTGCTTAGATTTCTAATTTTCATTTAGAAGTAACTGATAATCAAAACTGTACTTATTTTTTAAATGTCCGTTCTCACCTTGAACGAAGCACCTAAATGAAATATTTTCTTTTGCAGGGAGATGCTACGAGATCCAGAAATGAGAAATAAATTAATTTCTAACCCAACTAATTTTAACCACATAGCACATATGGGTCCAGGAGATGGTATACAGATTCTCAAAGACCTTCCAATGGTAAGTGAGAAAGTAACATGTGAGAATGGCTGCAACAGAGGCTGCAAATAAGAGAAAGGCAGACAAATATTGTTTTAAATGTTTATTCAGAGTGTTTGGTGTATTTCATATCAGAAGCAGTGTAACCAGGGAAATGGAGCTAAACATGCTCTACTTCACGTGATAAAATTTAAAAGAACAGTTTGACGCACAAGAACTGGGGGTGGGGGGGGAAATGCCTCCTGGTTTTTAAGGCAGTTTGGCTTCCCAGTGTTGGTTATTGTTTATCTAGCGCATATGAAGGGACAGATTTAAGAGGATTTAGGCCTAGGTTCTTTGCAGGAATGGAAGGAGAAATTCCTGTCTCCATAAACTGTATCATTGTAAGTTCAATTCCGTTCCTCCCTTCCTGTTTCTAGCTCCAGCTTGGCCTCCGTAGAGCCTCTTTTCCTCAGACAGTGGAAATGTAGCAGTTTTGCAGCATGTAGGGTCCAAATCTAATCCCTGCCGAAGATGTCATTTTTCATTTTCTCTCTAGTCTCAGTGAAACAGAACCTTTTGCGTGAAAAATTAACCTTGTAAAGTGAAAAAAGAAAACAAGAAAATGGAGAATGTGATAGTGCACACACACGTTCCTTTCCACGAAACCTTACTACTTCTGAAGGTAGTAAAACTTCTGCTGAGCTATAGACCAAATAATGTTTTGGTCACAGGAGAGTGTTCGTACTGTTTACTTCAAGCTACGTTGAACGTCTTGTTTGTGTGTTCTGTATTGTGCTTTAAATTCATCCGCGTTGAGTTAGATATCATTCAGAAGGTGCTAATTAAGCCTGTAAGGAAGATCCATAAAGAAGGCTGAAGAGACTATATGACTACCACTGTAAGACATAGGCATATGTCACCTGTACAGTAGTGCTGTGATCTAAAGTGGTCATTACTGTTAACCTGTAGCCTGTGCAGAAAGCAGTAAGTAGGAGAGCCTGTGAAAAAGTCTCTCAGCATCTGGAAAATTAAAAGGAGACAATAACAGGACTGGAAAGGAAAGCGTGCCGTACAGTTGCACTAGTTCAGGAGCTCAGGAGCGTAACTTCTGGTGTCCAGCCACTCATTTGGCCTCACTTGTGCAGCCAATGGTACTTTCACGTTGCGCTTGACCGTAAAGTCTGCACGTTGTGCGTGAGCCCTTCTGGCACTCCCTGCTCCTTACGGATGAGGGATATGCACGGGGAGGATTTCCTTTAGAAGTACTAGAGTAGTCTGAGACTCTTGGCTATAACGAATGCATTCAGTGAAATTGAGCAGCAAACAACATTGTGTGTGCGTGCGCGTTTTGAAGCCAATGAAGAAATACCCAAGAGAAAGAGCAGGAAGGCTGTGGAAAACCCAAGACAAACCTAAGGGAAGCTGGCAGATGGTGTTTATCTCACCGGCATGTCTGCTAATTTTTCATGAAGAGTGAGAATTTGCTTCAGGACAGAACGCAGATCAGAACTTTTTCCACTTTTCTGTTTCTGGTCGGTTCTTTAAAATATTTCTGGCTCTTCTAGAGCAGGGAAATAATCTGCTGCTGTTGCTAAAGGTCAGGCAAAACATCGCATTTCACGCTGTCGGTCGCTGGAAGTCCATGGGAACCGAAAGCTGCAAGGATTCTTAGTTGAGCCCCAAATCTGGCAAGTGTGAAATGAGGAGTGATTTTTTTCTGTGGAAGGGGATTTTTGTAAGCTTTGATTTGGATTAGTATTTCTTCAGTTATGTCATCTCTAAATGGCTTTTAGATTTAAATTCGTTCCAAATAAACCAGCCAGCTTTGTATTAGCGCGAAGGTCAGATTTGGAGGTAGGACTGGTATTTTGCTTCTTACCAATCAATATGATGCTTTGAAGGAAACTCGTGAGTTGCTTTCTTCTCATAACATGGATGAAAAGCCACTAGAAAATATAATATAGAATTGATTTCTGCACCTCTTCCACTACCGCAGTTTGTTTTTTAAAGTTACTATTAAAAACGCATTTTTGCAAGTAGATATCAGTCTTGATGCTGGGAGCTATCGCTACAGAAAGAGTGATTTTGATGTTTATTATTCTGGTAGTTTCTGCAGTATCGTATCGTATTTGTATTTCTAACTGAACGGTTACAGGAGAGTGTGAGCTTGAAAGTGTAACCTGACTTTAGGAAATACATTTTCTGTCAAGAGTGCTACTTCTGTCCAGGCAGGTTTTTCTTTTCCAGCAACTTCCTGTAAGGCGTGTGCTGGACTAGGTCTCCAGTTCGTCTGCTCCAAACGGACGGACTACTTCGTTACTCAGGCGCAAGAGTAGAGGAGAAGTTGTGCGGGATGATTCAAACGCGTATGATGTTATGCACTCTGAGCATAAGGTTTTATGTGACAGATAAATCTAGAATAACAGGTAGGATGGAAATAGCACACTGTGTCCAGGAGGACCAGTACACAAGGTAAAGAGTGCTCATCCGATCCCCCGTGCAGTTCATCCGTATGACAGTTTCTCTTCGAAGAGGCATCTTTGAATGATTTCACTGGATTCTTACCTTATTCCAAAAGGTGAAAAGGTTTTTGTGCTTCTTAGCATCGCATGGTGATTCTGCAGCTGGAACATCATCACCATCATATTTTTACATAGATCAGTATGTTTCAACAGAGAAAGTAACAAACTCATTTCTAAAGAAATACGGGAAAGACTGCCGCATTTTATTTTGTGAGTGCCGACATGTTTTTGTATTCAACGGTGCTACCACTAGGGGGAACAAGTAGCGCAAGGCTAAATATTTTCTCACTTGTCTTCATCCCACTTTTTTTAGGAGCTGTAACTCCTCCTTCTATGAGATGCTGAAATGCAGAAAGTGAATGAAAATAATAG